GTTTAGTCTTTTATGTAACATTGCAACAGCTAGGCTCAAGTCATGGACTTGCTTCTCCTAAATATCAGCAAGTCTGACTCTGTTTTGTCTTCACTTGCCTCACAGGTTGGAGCTGGGCCAGAGGAGCCAGCCAATCAGCCAGAGTAGGAAGACAAAGAGTTTTAAATTCATTATGGACTGAGGGGGTGGAGAGAGCAGTTGTTCAAGGGTCTACTGTCTTACTCATAGTAGTTAAGTGGTACCATTTTTATCTTTGAATGTGAGTATGGTTTGTGATTATTTTTCAAGCATTTTTTTTTCTCAATATGAAGCTAGTCTGATTGTAAAATCCAACCTTTTGCACTAGGCAGAGTCATTTCTCTCAAGTTCATATAAAATCTTCACTAATACATCATTTATTATTTTGACAATTCAAACAGGACAGTTGCAAAACTTACTGCCTGTTGGAGATCTATATGCCCTATTTCCCCATGGGGACTGAATCAAAATTGTGTGTCTGCAGGTGACATACAAGGACAGTTATGTCAGATATAATTGAAAATGTTTCAGTGTGGGGAAGAGTCAGGATTCAGAGTAGTAATTATTTTACTTTGGGGGAAATTCAAATTCAAGATCTCACTATTTCTCTTTCCATATTTGCCTTGATTTGGATCAAAGTATAAAAGGAAAAGGAAGTTGGAAAAAGATGGTAGCGCTGTGCCCCTGCAGGGATCAAACCTCACAGTATTCCTGGAATTGTATAAGAGCAAACTCCTATATCCATAAGTTTGAACATTTAGGAAGGTAATCTCAAAGGTATTTTTGTCTCAAATGAAGAGAAAAATTTGCACTTCATGAGTAGGAAAAGAAACCATTATTATTTGAAGTCGAGCTGTTTGCTTCCCTGTGACTGGTCACAGCTGTGGCTGTGATCTAACTAGTTGTTGGAGTTGGGATTCACAAGGCTGCAGTACAGAAGCGTCTTGAGTTGACTGTAAGCAGCCCTAGATGTCATTATGCTGGTGACCCAGCCTATTGACTGTAACCTTTCTGAGCCAGGTTTCCCGCCTGCCATGTGATAACTCCTCTCAGGCTTGTTGTGACTATCAGAGGTAATATTTCCAGTGCACCTAGCTGTCATCTGATGTCAGGCTGAGCATGTGGCTGCTGTGGTCTTTGTCTTTGCCTCACATTGCCTGGTGGGTTAGTGATAACTTTTGGCCTCTTTTTGTCAGGCTTTCATTTCCCTCAGTAAATAGTTTGTTATTTGTTTTTGATACTCAGAATTGAATCCAGGGGCACCTCACCACTGAGCCACATCCCCAGTCCTTTTTAATTTTTGAGACAGAGTCTCACTGAGTTGCTGGAGCTGGTCCTGAATTTGGGATTCTCTTGCCTTAGCCTCTCAAGTCACTAGGATTGCAGGTATGCACTACAATGTCTGGCTCTCCAGTAAATGGTTTTAAAATAACTTGTAGTATTATAAAGAAAATAAGAAATAGCAATCTTGGTGATATTCACACTTTGATACAAATCAAATTTGTCCTTGAAGTGCCGGATATGTTGCTTATTGGTAGAACACTTTTCTAGCAGGCACAAGGTCCTGGGTTCCATCCCCAATACCATCAAAACAC